CCCATGCACACATGTGCGCACATGCCGGTCAGCTGTGCGCCGTCGAAGGAAGTGTCTAGGGGGTGTCTAGGAAGTGTCGAGGCGCACATGCCGGTCAGCTGTGCGCCGTCGAAGGAGGCGTACGGGAAGTCGGAGTCGGTGATGGAGGCGTCCCTCATGATCGCCTTTTGAGAAGGACGTTGACTGATAATTAACTGCTAATGAACTGCTAATTAAACTACGAACTATGATCGCCCTGTCGAAAGTGACGTTGACTCCCATCGGCTTAGCGCCGCGGATGCTCCGCATGTTGATCATCTGCATCGAAGCCCCTGGGGAGGCAGCAGGCCAGCGGCCGGACTCAGTCACCCCCCCCCCCCTTTCCCTTCCCTGAGTGTGTCCAAACTGCGAGAGCCGCGCGCCGGTGAAGTCCGCATGGTTGATGGTCTAGGAAGTGTCTAGGAAGTGTCTAGGAAGCGCCGGTGAAGTCCGCATGGTTGATGGTCTAGGAAGTGTCTAGGAAGTGTCTAGGAAGCGCCGGTGAAGTCCACATGGTTGATGGTCGCGCCGGTCCAATCAGTGTTGTCGAGCATCGCGCCTAACCTCGGCCCCTCTCGGCTCCTCTCGGCTCTTTCAACGGGTAACAGGTCTCCGGCTCTCGTCAAGGGCACGGGAGGAGGAGGGGGGGGGGGGGGGGAACCCCTCTGAATGCCGCCCTCGTGCAATCCGAGGTTAGCAGGGGCGCGGAGTCCAACGCCTTTCACGCGAGCACCACTCACGGGAAAACCACGCCTCGGCCCCACACGCCGCCAAGGACCCCCGGGAGGAGGGGAGGGGGCCAGGAGGGGAGGGGGCCAGGAGGGGGCCAGGAGGGGGCCAGGGGGGGCACGCACCGCCCCCGAAAAGTTAGCACGGGGGGCGTTGACGCCCGTCATGGAAGCCTCGGACAGCTTGCTGCCTAGGGGGGTGTGGGTGCGGAACCTCCTCCTCCTCTCGTGCACCAAGTGCCTGTGGAGGGAAAAGGAAGGGGGGGGGGGGGGGGCCTCCCCAAAAAAAAAAAAGGTTTCCCCTTTCGGGAAGGGGGCCCCCGGAAAAAAAAGACCCCCTTCATTTTCCAACCCCGGAAATTGGGGTCCAAAAAACCCGGGCCCCCAAAAGGCGGGCCTTATCCCGGGGCCAAATTTTAAAGGGCCCCCCCCTTTTGAAAACCAATGGGGGG